AGACCGCGCCCAGTCTGTACCAGCGAGCCAGCCCGCGCACGTGTCAAGCCGTCTCGAACCTTTTTCTCATTTTTCTCGAATCGTTTGACATTTTTTGACCCGGTCAACCTCATTTTTCATGCTGGGTCCTTTTTTATGTTTTTAATAGTGTTCTCCGAGTCTAGCTTTCAAAACCATATGTTTCAACTTTCACAGAACTTCACGATCGACTTAGTCGAAATATGTTCGACTAAGTATGAGTTTTCGTGATTTATTCTAAGGGTCAAGATAAAATGTTGATTGAATTATCTTGACTAAATGTAGGTGTTCGATGATGCGAGCTCTCAACCTACACGTGTTATTCGAGCAATTCCCTGCTATTGTCTAAGTAGGTCATTCTAAATTTCTATGCCATAATTTTTTTATGTCTTCCTTGACGGTATGATCAGTGTATGCATGTGAACCATGTAGCCTATCGGCGTGAGCCGGTTCGGTCGTCTGTACGGTTGTCCCAGTCGATGTAATACGGTGTCTAATGATATGCAATCTCCCTAAGTCCTAATAAAAGGCCGTGTCGTTGTAAGACCCATGGCGAGGCCTTCGACATGTACTCCCACCGTTGGGTAATGAATCCCCTTCCGGGCTAATGAAAGATGTGTACACAGAAGTAAGGTTATTATTATGTGAAGTGGAGATGTGACATGTTGATTGATTTATATTCATGTAGCGACCATACCTATCTTTAATTATATATATGATTTATGTGCATAAGGGTGAGCAAAGTGGTATGTGCTCACTCCTATGTCTCTCCCCCTTTTAGGTTGAGCAGGTGGCAAGCATGATGGCGACGGGACGAATGGTTGGTCCCCATTTATGTTTATTAGCTTCCGCTTATTATGAACATGTTGAATTGGTTTTTGAACCTGTTTCATTGGTTTTATGAACATGTCGATTTTCTTTCAAACTATGACGTTTTGAAAATGTTGAACTTGTGGATTGGATTTTGAACTCTATGAGCTGGTTTGATTTCTTATGAAACCTGATGTTTGGGTTTATGGTGCTGATATGCGACGTTGAATATCATGATGATTTGTTTACTTTCGGATAATGAAATCTATGTGAAAAACCGGTTAATGAATCTCCGTGAGTTCAGATATGTCTTGAACTATGTTGTAAAATGATCAATAATGCCCAGGTTTATGTTGAATCGGAAAATGAATTTCAAAAAATTAAGTCTTGATTTTGGAAAGTGCGGAATTTCATTAAAATCATAGTGGGGTGTTAAACTCCTGATACTCTCATAAACTCTAGGTCGACTGCTATCCACTCGAGGTCGACTCTTTACATCACGAGGTAGGGAGTAGACGACGACTCAAGGTACTTCACGATATTCATGCTTATTTGTTGGGTAAGCAAGAATCTTTATGGATAAGATGGAATCTTAAGCTGACTGAGGACTGACTAGGAGGTGATTATGAAACAAGTAAACCGGGCAAATAGGTCGGTCGACCAAGGGCATTCTGGGTACTTCCAGACAGGTATTTCCTCTATAAAAGGATGAGAGGTAACATGAAACCCTAACTTCTACCGTCTCTATTCATTTTCCTTGCTGCTGCTGCTCCCACTAAGCAGAGCTCTTTCATCTCTCTCACTAACTTGAGCGTCAGAGACTATACGCCGGAAACATTTCCAGTGTTGAGTTCTTGCAGGTGTTTACGGTGGTCTAGAGGCGATTCGAAAGCGGTTTTAACAGATCGGAGCTCATATCCACGGGTTCACTCCAGATTTAGGAAGAGACCCATCAATAACTATTATTATTATTATTATTATTATTATTATTATTATTATTATTATTATTATTATTATTATTATTATTATTATTATTATTAAAATGACTCTATAACTATTAGAACTGGGGGAACAGGGTGCGGTTTCACCAGGTGAAGTGTACCATAAGAGGGTGAGGTAGAACTTAGTGAGGTTCCATCCCAAAACCAATTGGTGATCGGAGGAGTAGCCCACTAGGCTTATATACTATGTTCATCTTCGGTATATAATTAATGTGAGACAACTCACAAACGATATTTCAACGCGCCTCCTCACTTGTGTGCTCTTCATAAGCCCAAACCCACAGAGCAGGCCGGGTAGAGGGAGTCATTGCAGGTCTTAGGATAGGCCTGAGGGAAGAGGGTGCGATCCCACCAGGTGAAGCGCATCATAAGAGGTTGAGCCTAGATGCACTTTAGTGAGATTCCATCCAAAAACTAATTAGTGATGAGAGGAGTAACTCACTAGTCTTATATACTAGGGTCATTTTCCATGAATCACTGACAACTCTCATATTTCAAAAATAACAAAAAGACTCATGCTAGAATAACATAATGATTGACATAAAGTTTGATGTCATGTATACGTGACAAGATTATGTAATCTAAAAAATCACATCAACATTAAAATCAAAGATTCATACATCTGCATATCATTTATATCATCAAATTATGTCAAAAAAATTATATTTAGTATGAGGCAAAAAAAAAATTATATTTAGTATCAGGCCGGTTTAGTCATGGCCAAATCTCAATTTCGGGTTGGAATCGGTTCCTGTTCGGGCAGCATTTTTGGGGGCCTTGAACCGGCCGGATAATATAATATATATGGGCTGGTTCAATGAACCGGCTAAGTCCGCTTTGGAACAGGCATGCCAGTTCCGGACCGAATCAATTAATTAAAAAAATAAAAAGTTAAAAAAAAAAAAATCGTCGAACCGCGGATTTCGATTCGGAACCGAAACTGAAAGTTCAATTTGTAAAAATTCATGAACCTGAACCGGCCTACGGTCAACAAGCTTGATATGGTCGATTATGGGCTAAGTTCGGATTAAACTGGCGAGCCCAGTTCGGGATGTGGTCATGTCTAGCCGTGGAGGCGGGTTGGAGATCAACCTGTGAACTTGGTGACCCGTCCCAATAAAGAATTTCATTATAAAAAGGGAAACTAGTAAAGTCACGTGTTTATATACAGAACACACACGCAATATGTATGCATTTGCATAACTCTAAGTGGGGGTCTGGTCTACCCACACATAAGATTCAACTGAGATCTTTATAACAAGAGCTAAATCCATCAGAAGAGACCGACCCACCGAGGTGAGTTAAAACAAATATCACATTTTATCCATTATACAATGAAAAATGACATATTTAAAATAATTCTGTTGGCACGTATATGATGAGTTTATTGCTTCTTGCAATGCAATTGCATTCCAAGTTTAATTATTGTGAGAGCAAGCAACAATATCAGTCAACTTTGTGGCCTTGGTCTCAACTGGGAGGAGCATCACACTTATTCCTGCCACAACTAATACAACCTCAAACAAAGCTATGGCCGCCATTTGATGGCAACCGGAAACCAACCAAACTGCCACGAGAGGGCATATTATGCCCGCCACTCTCCCCACACCAGTTGCAGCACCAACACCTGTCGTTCTCACACACGTAGGATACAACTGCAAACACAAAGAAAAAGCTATAAACACAATCAAATTGCGATTTCGTTAAGGCGAGTTTAATCAATTAATTAATTACCTCCGGGCAGTAAATACCAGCGACTGTATAGTTCCCGATGAAGCACATGCGAGCTCCGAACAAAAGAGACGTGGTTATGAGTTCATTTTGGTGGAACAGCAGTGGTAAAAGAAATATGAATCCTATTAAGTACATAACTACCATGGAAAATCTTCGCCCGATTTTGTCGACAAGGAGACCCGATAAAATCAGCCCTGGAAACTCTGACAACATGGAAATCGATGGCAATCAGACTCAAAATTTAGAACTTTGAGAGTGACATCTGTAATAATCTAAAATAGAAATTTATCCAGTATACCTGCAAAGCTGGTGATGAAAACATCCATATAGAGGGTAGAGCCAGCCAAAAGCAAAAGAATGGAGCCACATCCACTTTCCCCACCACTCAACTCAGTGGTCAGCAGCACAACACCGTAGTACACAAATGAGTTTACAAAGTAGATGATCCATAGGAGAAGGGTCGTCTTTACCAAACTTGAGGATAAAAGCGTTAGAAATAACGAGAGGCCCGGCATGGGAGAATTAGTTATGCGCTTTCTGATGGACAACAAGGGGACTCCCTCCGAGGGCCTATTTTCTCTGCCCCGTTCGCTCGTTTGGTGTGGGACGAGAATGCCGGGAGGGAGCTGTGATTTGTTCATTTCGGCCATTTGTTTCAAAATTTTATGAGCGTCCCCGAATTTGTTGTTTAGGCACAGGTACCTTGGGGATTCTATCGTCAGGGAATAGAAGGCGAGTGTTAGTAGACAAGGTACAGACGAACATATAAGCACCCACCTCCACCCAAACCTTGGAATAATGATCTGCGCAAAATGACAAGTGAAATAATATTGTAACGATAGAATAAAAACAATGACAACACATCTGAAACTAGAACACGCATAACTTGAAGAGAAAAGAAAAGCTGTGTGCTTTAAAAGTTAATTAAAGTATGTCACTTGCAAGCATCAAATGTTAGATATACTTTTCGATATAACAGCTGACACCACAATTTTGAAGGGTTCAATTACAGACTTTGTAGGTCAACGGCCAATATTAAAGAGTATAACTCTTATGTCACAGTACAAAATTCCTGAGATACGAGGGAGTAATGAAGGGAAGAAAGAAGTTGTTTAGGGAGCAATGACCAGTGGCATTTAAGTAAACTTCATCTTTAGAAGCTACAACCAGACAGAAAGATAGATGATTAGAGGAAAAGAGCAGTACCCATGCCAATAAAGCCTCCAATATTGTTCCAATTGTCCAGAAAGTGCCAAAGACGACCATCCAAAAGCCTCGGTTTCGTGCGGGCACAAACTCGAGATACCAAGATGAGTACACGGGTCCACCACCCAGACCAATGCCAGCTACCATACGGAAAATGACTAATGAGGAATAATTTACGGAGAATGCACTAAGAAAAGCAAATATGCCAGTTACTGCACCAACACTTAGAAGGCCTATCCTGAATCCAAAAATAATAATATTATTATTATTATTATTATTAATCATTACAAATAACTGTGACAGACGGCCAGAAACAGTATCCATAGATTACAATGAGATAACAACTGAAAATGTGATTTTTAGATACTTCCTAGAAACATATCATCGTGTACGCTTTCAATTAACCTGAAAGATCATTTATAAGTCTAAAAAATATGCAAAGAACCAAAATAAAAGAACTAAATGTTTCAACCTATACATTTGTGGGTAAGTTCGGATCCTGATTCAGAGTTATATGCAGATACAAGAGAAAATATGACCAATTTCTTCGTGATACGTTCTTCTTGAAAAGTATACTTCACATCCTCAAATAATCTTAGAGGAACTGCTTCACGAAAAATCTGGAGAATACCTTAAGGGGATGAGCACTTACCATAGATACCCGATTAGGAAGAAAAAATATTAGTTCCACACCATATCGTGGAGTATTCCTTACCAAGAACATACTGTCCAAAACCAGCCGATTTCAAGAAAATGCATTTCTGAAAGTGGAATTGTTTTTGTGCAAAATAAACCAATAATCACAGTATTGCAAACAAAAGCAATCAATGACACATAATCCATGAATTTGTGCAACCTCATACAAAAGATCAAAGGTCTTTCATATTCAAGGAATATTGGTGCAATAAATCAGGTTATGCAATCACCAAAAAGATAATCGTTCTAATTCATAAAACGGGAACCCAATAGCTTGCCTTCTTCCGTAATTATCGGATATGAAACCCCACAAATAAGCTCCAAAAAGCATGCCCCCAAAAACAACCGAGGTTATGAAGCTCTCTTGTCCGGGCGAAAGCCCCCATTCATCTTTAACAGAGGTTCCTATAAAGGAGAGTATCATGACCTCCATAGCCTCAGCCATGGCCCCGAGTCCCGCATAAGCCATCACCAGAGCTTGGAATTTCCCAAATCCCACCATCTCAAGAGCTTCATCCAGTGTGTAGGAAACCCCCATCTCATTCACATCCACGCCCTGTTAATCCCATAACAACGAACACATGGATAAACTGATAAACAGCCCATATATTTTTCACAACTATAAACTTATTTATAAGTTTCACTAAAATTCTCGATGACTCTTTCTTCAGTTCTTTAAATTCTAGCCCTTTTAATGCTGAGCTCAGGTAATTCCTACAACCAGTGCAAAATAGGGAGATAGGAAGAAGAATTGTGGTTACCTCGCTGTTCATGATGGCCGTGGGGGTTGTGGCTGATCAGTTTGATTGATCTTCAAATTATCATCTACATATGAAGTGAGTGTCGCTTTTAAAAGACAATCACTTCTTTTTATTGCTGTCATCAATAATTTTGAGATATGGTTATGTTTACTTTTTAAGTTTGAGGGAGTCTCCAATGGTTAGCTATTTGGTTAACTATTATGACGTGAACAAGGGAAAAGTAAGAGAGAGTAGTCACTAGCTACTAACAAATAACTTATCTATTTCACGTAGCCCAAGATCATGTGAGAGGAGTACGTGGGTCCAATAGTGTAAAATAGTTATTTTTCTTATCTCTCACATCCACGTCAGCTAACTATATAGCTAGTAATAGCTATTACCATTGGAGATGCCCTGAGAGTTGGAGTTTGATTAATTAATATGGGTGCCGGATATCTATTCTATTTACTACTCTCTCCTATTTTTATTATTTGTCATCCTAGTTTAATTGATCATTGATTAAATAAATGTCGTTTTGGCTATTTTGTTCATATTTTTCCATTTTTAACCCATCATCTAATGCACAGTGTCTCTTCATATCTCATCTTCATTGTTTCTCATAACATCATTAAATATGGTTAATATTGGCAAGAAAAAAGTTCTTAATTAGCGTGTTACTTCTCAAAATGACAAATAATAAAAATAGGAGGGAGTATATAATTAGGCAATACAATTACTAAAAAATAACAAGTGTTTTAATAGGTCCCTCATCATATTACTATTTATGGAAAGTGAGTTTCAATTGTTTTTTATTATCTTCTTAATTGTCACCTTGCGTTAATCTTTTTTTTTCATTTTTAATAATAGTTTAATATTAAAAATGGACCGAAATTTGCTGTCATTTATATAGGCAGTTTAAAATGTTTTTTTCTGTTTTGATTTTTCATTAATATGAAAGTAATTTTCTTTTTACATGTACATAACATGTTGAATCACAGTGAATTATTTATGATGTGTATTAAAAAATAATTTATATTTATAGCCTTCCTAAAAATATGAAGATACTAGATAATAATATGGTATACTTATTTATATAAAAGAATGGTTCACAAATAAAGAAATTGAATTACATGTATAGAAAATAATAGAATACATAACCAAACAGGCTATTAGAAGGGCTTTTTCTTCTAAAATAGTATTTTTTAATTAAAAAAACAAAAAAAAAATTGAGATTGACTTTATACCTGCAAAAAAAAAATGTTTAGAATGCTAACATGATTAAAAAAAATACGAAAATATTAAAGCATAACAAAAATTTAGATAAAAGATCATCCTACATATTAATGGTGCATAAATATATTTTCAGTTTTAAGATAAGAGAAGTTAGAGTCTCATAGCCACCACAATTTAGATAAACTAGCAAATTGAGTTTGCATATATGTTCACATGATACAACTGCTAATATTTAAAACCTCAGTTTTTAATTTCTATTTTAATAATCTATTAATATATAATAAGGATTAACTTAATTAATTTTTAGAAACTAATTCCCGCCAAAAACATTAATTACTGCCTATAAATAGCAATTTAACATAATTTCATAAAATCACTATTAATTACTGCCCGATTAAATATGTAATGGAATAATAATCCTTTTTCACGCTATAATTAACAGCAATTGCACATAATTTGTAAAATACATAGTGATTTTTTGGATTTCGGTACAATAATGAAAATCCTTTTTCCACGCCATTAAATATTGAATAACAGCAATTGCACATATTTTGGAACGTACATAGCCACTTTTGTGGCTCCATTAGCACTATTAATTACTGCCCGATTAACATTATTTTTGTATGAAATGGTTTAAAAAATCATTTTTTCACGCCATTAAATATAGAATAAAAGCAATTGCACATCTATATATATCTAAAAAGGATGATGGAGAAATCCTCAACACGCGTAGGAAAACAAAAATTACATACAGTAGACGCCGTGAGTCGATCCAACAAACCGTTTTTGAAGTTGAGAGTAATTCTACTGCTGGAAACTCAAGTTGAGAGTAGTTCTACTGCTGGAAACTCATGACGATCTGGAGCATCCAAACGCTTTTTATATCATGTTTCATGATGAAGGGGTAATTATTTTCAATAGTTTTATCTTTAACATTATTTTCATTGTTTGTATTATTTATTATTTTCGAAACTGATTTTATATTTTTTTTTGTATGATTTATTATTTCAAATATGTAGGGTTCATACATGAAAGTAATAGTACGTTCGCAGCATATGAGCAAATTTCGAGATCGCCTTAAACAAGGCGAGGTGTATTTTATTCGCAACTACGTGTTGAATATAATAGTGGGAGGAATAATATAATAACTCATTGTTGGAAGATTGTCCTTCATGGAAGGACATATTTTATCAAACACAATGGGAATTTTTCTCAATACTAGCAATGATCGAGATATGGTTGCCGCCTGAATTTCTTAAGTTTTTATTATATATAAATTTGATGATTTGGTCATATTTATTGTGAAATGGATGTGTACTACATTTTATCGTGAATATATTAATTAGTAAACTCCTCCTTCGATTTTGTACTTCGGTTTTGTACTTACATACAGTACTTACATTCGATTTTGTTCATTTTTTTATTTTTGTGCTTTCAAATTCTAATAATTTACAATTTCATATTACTGAATTTATTTTATTTTATAATTTTATTCTATTAAATCATTGCATGCTTGAACAATTTTTAATCACCTTTTTTTTGTATATATAAAAATAAGTATATAAATATCTAAAAGAAAATTAATAGTGATTTAAATCGCAATATATAATACGCTGTTGTTCCTACTAACAAAAAAGGGAAATTTTTAAAATACGTTACATTATAATAATTAAATAAATGACAAATTATATTAAAAATAACAAAACTTGATTTTTTTTTTCTTTTATGCGCTTAAGAAAATATTAAGCTTGATCAATTAATCAATTAATTGAATAATATAATTAAATAATATAATAATACATTTGTGAGATTCATTTCTATAAATTGTGTTTCTATAATCAATTAATAATTTATTCGTGTATAAAACATGCTTTTTCTATATGTTCAATTAAAACATGCTTTTTCTATATATTCAATTAAAACTAATAGTATACCCTAATACGTCACATATATTTTTAATTTACTTTTAATTTAAAGGTACACATATCCATATATATCTATACACCCTCAATGTTATTTTAATATATATATATATATATATATATTTAAATAAAAACTCTATAAATCAGTTAGTTTTGAATTAACCGATTAAAAATGGTAATGTTATTTTTTGGATTTCGGTCTAATAATGAGAATGTTACTAATAGGAAGGGGTTGAAAATATTAGTTTGTGGGGACGGCGAGTTACCCAGTAATCAAACTAATAACATTGTATATAAGGAAGTTTTTAATAATGTATAACTTTTTACCAATGACGATTTTATGTTTACTTTGTGAATGTCATACATATTATAATAACTTATTAATTAATGACCTTTTAATTTTTTAATGTTTTTCAAAACATGTACTAGACCGTGCATCGCACGGGTTACATACTAGTATTAACATGATAACATAACATAATATTGAGAAGATAAATCAATTACGTACACCATATAGTAGTTCTGACACATAAAATTGAAAATTATAAAGGCCATATAGAAATGAATTCAGCTTCAAATAAGATCTATTGATTTGTAATTTGTTAAACAAAAAAAATAATCTATCTATTACAGAAATTATTTATTATTATCAACAAAATCATATATAATGTGTTTTTGTAAGAAATAACGCCCAAAAAGTTCAACAAACGTCCCAGTCAAATAAGTTAGCCATTTTTATAAAAATAAAAAACGATACTATTTCTCAAATCTTGCGTATAAGGAAAAAAATATGGATAAATCTCTTTTATATTGCAAAATTTTATGTGCCAATTATGAAATTACGTGCTTCATTTATGAGCAAATAATGAGCCATGACATTCATTTGATAATTAATTTTTTAGAAACAGTAGTATAATATTTGTAGTTTCAATATATAGCAAAGTGTTGAATAGATAAATTTAGGAAAATATAGAGACTAATATAAATTCAAAATTATAAAATAAAAGGATATGTATATTTTAAATAAGAGATGAATATAAGAAATAATATATTCAAGTTTCAAAATAAAATTCAAACCAAATGTAATAAAAAGTGTTAAGATAATAAAATGATTTGAGAATTTTCTTTATACCCCAACTATACATATTTGCGCATTTAGTACATGATGTTTCAACTAAATCAATTTAGTACCCAACTTTTCGTTTATTAATAAATTTTATCTTTCATAAAAGAAAAAAAAAAAGAGGAAAGAAACTAACGGTTCCAGAAATAATATCGTTAAATTCATGAAAAATTATATAATTAAATAACCAAAAACATTCAAGAACAATTAAAGGAAATGTATAAAATTGAGGCCCAATTATTTTTGTAAAAATTATCAAAAAAATATATAGACATAATAAACGTGTAAATGTTATTAGAAAATTTGTATGTTGGTACAACATAGGAATAAAATCAAATAATCTATTTATAAATGAAGTTTCAACCAATGAACCAAAGAACAATACAATTTAGAATACAATTTAAACGAAGAGTCCTATGTCGTTTTG